AAAAAAAGAGGAATAAGGAAATAAATGTGTATGACTCACCACAACTCATTCCTCCCCCTCCAAAAAATTCAAAACTTCTCCTCACCTCTAACCCATCTTCCATTCTCATACCTTCCCTGTACCACCTAGCTGCCCAACTGGAGTTATGAGTAAAGATTAATCTGGTAGAAGTACTGGGGTGTCAGGGAAGGTATGGGGATGGAAGGTGGGTTAGAGGTGAGAAGAGATACCTATTAGAAGGCTATTGTTACAGACTAGGTAGTGATGACAAAGGCCTGCCTGGTGGTGGCAGTGAGAATAGAGAAGTTTTGAATTTTTTTGCCCCTCTCAGATCTCACAAGGGACTTTGTTTTTTATCAAAGTCACCTACTTTGTAACATTTTTAATAATAAACTAGCATTGATGTGTTGTTCTTCAAGATTTGCAAAGTTCTTTTACAAATATTCTCATTTTATCCCTACAAACAACCCACAAATAAGGAAGACAGAGTTTAAGTGATTGGCCTGGGGTCACATGATTTAGTCAAAGGGCTGCACTTGAGGACCTAGAGAATCGCATGTGGCCTCGTGGCCCCAAAATTCCCCACCCTTGGTTTAGAGACTTTTCTGATCTGTAAAATGAGTCACTGGGACTGGATGACTTCTAAGGTCACTTCCTGTTGTAAAACACTGTAATCACTAGCTATTTTGCAGTTGGTACAACTGAGGTTCTAAGTGTGTCAGATATGATTTGAAGTCAGATCTTGTTGATTCCAGGACCATCTAACTTCTTATAATCACCAATTCGTGTGTAATTCCCCTGTTAGTTAATAAATTTCACGAGGGTGGTAATAGGGACTATGATTTACCTAAATTCTGTGTCTCCTCTCAGTACATTGCACTCAGTAATTCAGTCACGTTTCTCAAATAAATGCATTTCTCTACTTCTATATCTATGCCAATTCCACTGACCTTCTTCTCATGGGTGGGGTGATGAATTTTAAAGTTACAAGGCCACAAGGCTTTAGTGCTTTGGACTAAGATAAAAGATTACTAATCAGTCTGCTCTGAGTCTTTCTGCCCAAGGAGTGGTGGCTAAGGGAGTTTAGTCCTTACCTTGTACCTCAGAGTTCTGTGACTATCTACTAGTGACTTCTCCATGCTATGAGCACTTTTATAACTCAGTAAAATGGAATGCATATCTATCATATATCTTTGCATATCCACACTTGCATGTCTATCATAGCTAAATCACTGCACTGTTTGAGTAGGGAGGAGTAACAAACTGAGAAACAAACCAATGAGAAAATAAACTAATAAAACAGCTAGGTGGTGCAGTGGATAGAGAGCCAGGCCTAGAGTCAGGAAGACCTGAATTCAAATCCAGCCTTGGATACTTATTAGCTATGTGACTCTGGGCAAGTCACTTAACCTTGTTTGCCTCAGTTTCCTCATCTATAAAATGAGCTGGAGAAGGAAATGCTGAATCACTCTAGACCCCTTATGGGGTCATGAAAAGTCAGACATGATTGAAAACAACTAAACAACAACAAAGCATTTGTATGGTGCTTTAAGGTTTGCAAAGTACTTTACAAATAATATTTTACTCTCATAACCATCCTGTGAGGTAGGGGGTATTATTATCTCCATTTTACAGATAAGAAAACTGAGGTAGACAAAGATTAAGTGACTTGCACAGGGTCATAGAGCTAGTAAATATTAGAGGCAGGATTTGAACTCTGGTCTACCTGACTCCAGGTCAGGGTCTCTATCCACCTTACCCCCGGCTTCCTCTGAACCTAAAGCTTAGAGATTTTCCTTATCTGTAAAATGAATTGGACAGAATAAATAGCTTCTAAGGTCACTTCCTATTCTAAAATCCTGTGATCCTTAGCTATTTTGCTGTAGCCACAATTCAGTCCTTCATCCTCTTTAAAAAAAAAAAATTCTCCCTGAAGTCACCCGAGAATGGCCCAAAGCCCCAAATCATTCCAGAGATTTGGAGTTTTGTTGAAACAACCTTCATAAATTAGCCAACCCTCAGAATACAGCTTCATTATTATTGCTTGGTTCAGCCAGATCTTCAGACCCAGGAAATTATATGCCTAAATGATTCACTGTGTACAACAACCTTTCCTGTGTCATAGGACTTTAGATTCTACAGAAAGGTAGAAGATCTTTGTCATCAAATTTTAGAGAAGGAAGAGGTCATCTTTAGTCCAATTACTCCATTTTGGAGATTATGAAACTTAGGTCAGGTTTCTCAGGAAAGTCACAGAATTAATTCTATATCTGCCTCTGAGCTGGTAACAAAGCTAAGGACCAAGGCTTCTTAGAATGGGGCTCCTGACTATATGTATGAAAATATTTACAGCTGCTCTTTTGTTGATTGCAAAAAACTGGAAACTAAGGGGTTGTCCATTAATTGACAAATGAATATGAATATAATGGAACACTATGGTGCCACAAGACATGATGAAGGGGATGGTTTCAGAGAACTTGGAAAGACATACATGAACTGAGGCAGAGCAAAGGGGATTTGACTCAATGACATCTAAGGTACCTTCCAAGGCTAAATCCATGATAATATGTTATTACCCCTATTTTACAGGAAGAAGGAGACTCAGAGATGTTAGTGGACCTACTTCAGAGTAAAGCTCGAAGGTTATGGAATACTCTTCTAATATAAGATGGATTTACCAAAATTAACCTCAGCCATAATGGAGAAAGATGCAAATGTGAGTGCACTTTGAAAAGTCTTTTTTCTATCCCACAAAGAAGTTTAGAACAAAAATTTTAATGATGCTACATTCTAGTAAAAAAAGAAGTGTTGAGTATCTATTAAGTATCTGACTGAGCTGCTTAAGTGGGCCACGACTACTTTTTCACTATCATTTTATGCAAAGATTCTAAGCCCCAAGTCACAGTAGGTAGAAACAAAGAGACAGTCCCTTACCAAGCCGTCTCTTTGTATAGGGATGGGGAAAAGGATTCAACCTAAAGCTATGTAAAACAGTAAAATTTCCCTTACGTGTTGTTTTGTTTTCCTAGAGCAACGCAGAGGGATGCAGAGCAGATAAAATGCTAAGCATCAGCAATTTCCAAAGGAGAGCAGAGA